TTTGAATTTGTCTAAAGAAAATATATTTTCACTTTGTGAAATTATTTTGTTAAGATAAAAGTGCTTATTAAGTTTAAATTAGTTTAATACTGAAAATACACAATATTGTAAAATATAACAGCTACTATTGGTACATAGTTATAAAATTTGTGACTCGTGATTGACTGATTTCTGAGAATTTTATTTTAACGTTTGAGGAAATCTTTAGTTTTTTCGATAACCATGCCGAATTTCTCAAATATTATATGCATGCGGATTTAGTTTTTTAAATCATAAAATTAAATTTTTAACACTTCTTTTTTAATATGAAATTAACTCGTTAACTCGCCATTATTACATTAATGGGCACAATAAGAAACTCGATTCATAAATTTATTCTTAGAAACGAGATTGAAAATGAAAATCTGACGACAAACTGAAAGGACAGCTTACAGTCACATTTTCTATCAACATTCTAGTAGTTAGCTATGATTTACTAAAGCAGAACAAATTGTTGTCTTTATATGTTTAATAGGAAAAATGATCGTTATATTCGTTATATATTAACGATTAATGTACTTGTATGTATATATATGTATAAATATGAGCGTTTTGACATGCATTGATTTAAGGTTGTCGAAAAAATCGAATTTGAAAGGCTTGAATGTTATAATTTGAAGGGTAATTGAGATGACTGAAAATTTCATTTCTACAGAAATTTTCCGTTTTGTATAAAAGTATTACAGACGATAGACGGATAGACGAACTGATAGATGAACGAAAGGATAATTTTATTTTTATTGAAAATAATATGTTAACAGTATAATTTAAATTTTCCAAAAAAAATGGATTTTGTATTTATACACTGTAAACTCATATGTGCGTATGTATGTACATATATATTTATACATTTTGAAACAAGTTTCTGTGGCCACATTTTACTTTATTAAAATTTTACTTTATAAATAATTCTAACATTTGACAAAGAGAAAAAACTGATAAATAAAAATATTTAACCGCAAATGTGAAATGTTTTTGGATAGCTTAATAATGAAATCACAAATAATTATATTGTATGTACATATATATACATATTTTAGTTTCTCTCATCAATTATAAAGTGTATAACAATGGTAAATAAGTAAAATGGTTAAAATAACAAGTTTGTCACATAATAAATTGATACAATAGATAATAATTATAATATTGTTTGTAACAACAACATTATTATAAAAATTAAATATTTATAAAACATAACAGATAACATTATACACACACAATGTTATCTTTAAATCTGTTTTATTTTTTTTTCTTTTTACTCATATTTCAGTTTAAAATTACAATTTTATATCCTGTGGTTGTGTTCAAATTTTATAGGAATTTTGTTGAATAATGCAGAAGCATATTGCATGTACTCGTAAGTATAGAAAATATTTTTGTTGAATAATAATTTTTGTTGTCACTGCTTATATTTCCCATATCTAAATTTACTTATGTGTATGTATAATAGAGGTACAAACTTTAATAATTTCGGATCAATCCCATGGTTTGTAAAGAAGAACATTTCTGTTCAACTTCTAAAATATTCCTTCAGTCAAATTATTCTCATTGATATTGTGTTGAAATGTACCATATTTATTACATATTTATAGGATGAAGAAAAAAATAAAAATCGTTAATAATTTGGCTTCGGCTGCCAAGTCAGGCTAGTTAAGATAAATATACAATTATTTTTTTAGCCAAAAAAAAAGTTTGAGCGAAATGTTTGTAATATTTGGAGGCAATTTTTTGTAGTGAGAATGACGTACAAAAAAATGACGTACTCAAACGAATAAGCATACTTCTCCAATTTAATTGGAAATGTGCTAAAAGGAAATTAAAATTTGATCACAATGTATAATAAATTTTGCTATATGTTTTCTATGTATATCTACATACATACATATCTATCTATATTTATATAAGTATATATGTAAGTAAATGGCACGTCTTTCTTTAAACATCTGGAGATAGAGATAAACCTGAATTTCGCAAGAACATTCTTAGGTGGCATATTCATTACGTCATTAAAGTTAAGGGAAAAAATTGAGTTTTGAACGTGTGGATTACTGGTGTAGAATGTCGGAATATTTTTAAAAATTTATTTTCATAGTTGCGATTTTATAAAAGTATCAAATAGTTACTACAAGAATAAAATCAAAAACGCATTCCTTTGAATAATTATGATCGCACTTATTCACACATTTTTCATGTTCAATTATAAGATGTCTTCTACATTAGAAAGTAGTCAATCAATTTACTGTAAATTTGATAATTTTTTATGTAACAGTACAAAAAAAAACTCAAAAAAAAAGAATTGTCGTTTATTGCGCAATGTATAAAACGGAAGTATGATTAGATTTGAAAGTGAGTAATGTGCATTTAACTTCCAAAAATTGTGAGAAATTATTGCTGTTGCAATTAATTTTTTTAAGCAATTGCAATTGCCATGAAAGTATTTGCACCCTCTATAAGTATAAACTAAAAATCCTAAGAAAATTACGAGTAAAACTTAAAACTTTTAATTGCAAACTTAAAAAACTAAAACCTCCAAAAATAATTCTAATATTGAATTTTTATATTTGGACTAAAACGAAGAACTTAAAGAATAATTTATGAGTTATTTCTAACTTCGTGGCGGGTCCATTATTTTTTAGTATTAACCAATTTTAAATGCTTTTTTTACGCCAAATTTAAACTTTAATCAATATTATACAAGAATTTTTGGTTTACCCCTACATAATTAAGAATTGTTATAGAAAATAAACGTAACGGATAATAACCTTAACAATAAATAATCAAATTGCGTTTGTTTGTTTTTTTTCAATAACATATTGTATGTGAAATTTACGTTTGACCTAGTTATCTTGAGGCACATAATGAAAAGATTCTTAATATTATAAGTTTTTTTAATACAAAAATCTTGTTAAATTTTCGTGTTGCGATATCAGGTTTCAAATTGAATCTATATAGGTTTCAACTGCTTTTAACAATTTAAACCTGTTGGAAGCTCTTTTTTGCGAGTTTCGTGTAGCTGATTTTTTTCTAAAAGAACAAGAAGGAATTTCGAAATTGAAAATTGTTTTAAAAGAAAATTTCTACAAAAATTAATAAAATTTTATTTTCCAAATGTTTTGATTTTAATTTTTCTTAGTTTCCAGTGATAATCAAGCATATTACAAATGCTTAAGGTCATATAAACCATTCAACATTAAAACTCTTCTTTATTTTGTGTTATAAACGAAAAAGGAATTTATTTCTGCTTTAATAATTTTAAATATTTAGACTATAGCAAATAAAAAGAAAATAAAACAAATTTTTATTAAAGCATAATAGTTCTCAAGATTTTTGTATTGATAATAAATTATTTTTTTGATACACCCTCCTAGACAGTAATAATATACACATAAAGTAAAGGGGTACGCATCAGTTACGCTAATACGATTTACATTTTATATATGTACATACATACGTCAAATACGTAAGTAAAATGCGCGAAAAGCTTTTCTATATAAAAAAAAATATTTATTTATTTATTTTTTTTTTTGCTTTATTCATCATAAATTTCAAAATGCGATGAACGCGATCGAAGATTTTCAATGTCAACAAAATAATGCGATTATTTTTAGAATAGGGAAAAATTATTTCTGCTTTACTTATGTATTTTTCTTTTCATTTTTTATTATTATTATTCTTTTGAAGAATTTAATGTATGTACAAGAAGAAAATTGTATAGAGAACAGAAATTGTCTCAATAAATTAGCAACCAAAGCTTTTCTATTGCGAAAAAAGTTAATATATGTATATGTACATGTATATATGTATGTTTTTTTTCATATATTAAAACAGCGTCGAGTCCGAATCAACTCAATTTGCTTAATGAAAAGACGATTCGATTATAATTTTTGTTTATATTGCCTCAAAATAAAATTGTTCTATATACCATTTTTAATATTGACGAATTTGGACGACATAAAACAGATTTTATGAAGATTTAGAATGAAAAATATTTTTTGATGTTGAAGAGAATCCAATACTCGTATGTGGAATATTTCAATAAAAAAAATTAAATGAATAGGTTTTTTTTAAAAAGTTTATTAAACTGCTCTGTCAAATTAAGTATATGCTAAGGTCTCAGACAGGTATGCAATTTCCGTTTGATTACAGGTTTTATATTTGAAATTAATGTATATACAAGAAATTACAAACTGTTTGATTACTAAATTGCATGCGATCATTCAATGCCATGGGTGCACGCTTGTGTATAAGCCTATGAAACACGAATAAGTTATCAAACAGTTGAAAAACTAAAAATTGTATGTCTGCCTGAACCCCTAATTTAGATCAAATTTATTTTGATAAAGTATAGTAATTAAAATTTGAAAATACAATTGGCAAATTTCTTTTGACACTGACTGTGCATTTTAAAGCATGATATTAATACAAAATTAATAAGAAATTGTGAGTTAAATAGCAAGAAAATTGCAGCAATACTTTACTATTTAGACAATTTAGCAATTACAATTAATTGGCTGAACTGATTATTTTTAGAGTATATTACAAATTTTTATAGCTTAAATTTGAATCTCAAATTATTTAGTTGTATAGATTTTTATCAAGGTGAAAATTTTATTAGAATATAGAAAATGTTAGGAAATTTTGTGTTATTTGCTGCGTTATAACAAAAAGAGAAAACGATAAACTAAATTAAAATTTTCTATAAAATTATGAAAATGAACTTACTACATTATTATTTTTGGTTAAATAATTATATATTTCAATTCTATATAGTGCACATACATATATTTAATAAGGAATTGTATTAAAGTATTTGCGAAAATATTCAAAATTAAATTTCTATATTAATTTGTTCTTATACAATTTTACTAGGTTTGAAAAAAAAAATTTTGTTCTTTTTTGTTTTTTTTTTTTATGTTTTAATTTCACTCAATTCTCAATTTGTTTTAGTGATCAGAGTGATTTTGAATATATTACAGGAGTCTTTTCAGTATGATTTTTGTTTAGCTTAAGTAAAGTTCACAACAAAAAGCATTAAATACAAAAGAACGTGTAAAATAGAATTACGGTTCGGGTAGTGTGCAAAAATTGTTATTTTTTGACAAAAAAAAAAATTAATTATATGAAATTAAGCGGTTTTAGATAGATAATAAGTGATCATTTTAAATAAAAATAATAGAAAAAAATAAAGAAAAAAATTAAATAAAAAGCGGAAAAATGTTATCGTATTCAATACCAAGTAAAATAATTGCTGCCGTAATTTTAACTTTAATTTTATGTAGTACAACAACAATTGTAAATGGTAGACCCGAACTGGAAAGTTTTTATGAAAATAATGGACCACTTCATTCGATGGGTTCCAGAGAACCAGGTATTGTCTATTAGTTTTTCCAGTAAAACTGTATACTTATTACATAATTTCGAGTATTCTGATGTTATTATCGAATTAATTATCGAACTTAGTTGCGTAAAATTTGAGATCATTGTATATATTTTGCATTTCCATACCATATTACAATCATTAATTATTTAATATTTAAGTGTTAATTTATTACAAAAGAAAAAAGGAAAAGCACACATAAGTGATGACCCAGTTAATTTGAAATAAATTCAAACCAAAATATGTAGCAAAAATTCAATGGAATTAAAATTAAGTGCCAAGGGTAGTTCGGACATTTCGAAATAAATAAAAATATATTAAAAAATTTTCATTTTTTTTTTATTAAACAAAATTAAAAAATAAAAACAAAATTTAAAACAAAAATTTTGTTTTTATTTCTATAGCTATTCTTTTTTCATTAATTAAAAAATTTAAAATAAAAAATAAGGCAAAAAAAATCATATACAAATTTATTATACGTATGCATGTGTATAGATAAAAATGTGTAGGCCTAATTAGAATTTTCAGATTGATTAATGAGTATAAGGTCCAATATCTAAGAAGAACGCTATAATGTCAATTATTGTGCGTGTGAGTGATTGAATAGTAAAGTAAAAAACATAAAAAAAAAGTAATGTTGTGGCGCCATTATTATTCTTAATATCAGCAATAAATTTATATAATTTAAATTCAAAAGAGGAAGTTTATTAAAATTATTTTAGAGGTTTATAGATTTGATTTGAACTCTTACGCCACCATAATAATAATGTTTATATAATTGCACATATTAAAACAAAAAAAAGAAACTAAATAATGTTTATATAATTAACAAAATAAAAAAAGCCCATTTTCTGTTTACATTTGCGGTTTATTTACTTGAAATTTTGTGGTATTTTTTTTTTTAAATTGAAATTTTACAAATATTTTATTTGTATACCTACATATATATTATGTATTTAAATGTGTTTTATTGAAAAAATTGTTGAATTTGAAAAAAAAAATTTCTAATTATTTAAATTTATTTTAGTCGAATTTTTAACAAGCTTCAAGTGTCTTATAGGGAAACAATATTCAATATTTTAAAAAAAAATTGCACAGTTTTTCTAAATATGCTTTGTCTTACTTACTTTTTCGCCCTAAATGGTAATTTCTAGCTTTAACTTTTATAATTTCAAATGAAAATCATTATGTGATCATGTATTCCGATCCAAATATATATTCTAATTCCAAATTTTGGAGCTTGGAAAAAATATTTCAAGCAATATTGTTATATCTAACCAATTAACCGATTTATCCAATATTTTATCAAATAACTCGTTTTTTAATTGCGAAGTAAATTTTTTTAAGTTTCAAATATTTTTTCTTAATTTTTTTTCAACAATTCAATGATGGTACCAGTAGCACTATCTGCAACGATAGAATTACTCTTCTCATCATTGAACTTTCTACAAAGATAGTAGAAAGTATTAGTAAAGTATGTTCTAATATTGAAAAATTGTTTTGAACTTGATAAAAATTGGACTTGATTTTATTTCTACTATTATAAAATTTGTTGCACCTAAATATAGGCAATATTTGAAATTTGTGGACTAATAATCGGCTTAGCAGCTGAGGGTATACACAAGTAATATTTTAAGTATTATTATTGCAAAATAAAATGTAATCGCCGGTTCATAAGAAATGGAATTCAAATTTGTATGAGTTAGAATTTTATGATACTTATGCATTCATAATTAGAAACATTTCTGAATATCTATACTATATTAAATACCAAATTAATTATAAAGTTAATTAAAAGACTTAATCGTTTTGAATTTCATTTTTTCTATAATAACATAAACATTAGTAGTAATTGATAACATACAATTAGTACGAAGCTGTTTAAAAAGTACTCTGTTAATTATTATTATTATTATTAGACTTTGCGGTTATGCGAACTTTTATACTAACTAACATTTGTTGCATAAGGCAGAATGATAACGGAAGATTAAAAAAATTTAATAATTCAATATATTTAAAAAATATAATAATTCAAGTTCATACTGTATGTAATAATTATTTTCGTAAATGTGCAACGTTCATTACTTAAAAATTTTCTATATGACATGCTATCAAATTAAATAAGAAGCAAACAAAAGCAAAAACCATCATCGTCATATTCAATTATTTGTTTTGAATTTTCGTTATAATTTACATTGAATTTTAAAATTATTTTAAGAACTAGTGACATAATAAAATTATATTATTTTTATTTATAACAAAATATGCATTAAATAATAATTATGCCAAAATAAACCCGATGAGTTCATATATGTAATGTATACATATAGGAATATTAAAAGAGAATAATGACTAATAATTTTAAATAAAATAAGTCATTTACTCTTTAAATATCAACTAAAATGAGGAAACTGATTTATACATAAAATTTTTATGACATTATAAATGACGATGTTTCACAAATTTATTCACTAAAGTTAAGATTTTTTTCTCTAGAAATTACTGTGGATTAAAGTTTTCTTAACATTTACTCTAACTGTTGTATGAATTTATGGTATTAACTGTTTTAAAATTCTTTTGATAATCAGGCATTGTGTTTTTGGTTTTTTCATGTAAAAAATGTACCCAATATTAATATAATTTTATTGTTTTCTTTTTCATTTGTAACAAAGTATTTAGAAAGAATACAACATTGTTGTTCTAAATCGAAAGGATAACAAAAATACCATACAAGTACTTAAAATGTTTATGTACAATTACACTTTAATTGCTTGTATAAATGATTTCTCCTCTTCTTTCATATATATTTGCTTTTACACTTCTCTTATGTGTACTCTCGATTATGTCTAAACGATTTCTTCTATAAAATGTTTTATAATAGGATATGCTCTATAAATTCTTTAGTACAAAAGATTATTAACATTATAGGCTTTGTTTTTTCCATTATGATATTATTTTTTAATAATTATCTTTTTCAAATTATATTTTAAATGTTTTCTTTTATAGAAACAAAAGCAAAATGAAAAAGTTAGAGAACATAAATTGCAAATTTTATTTTTGCGACCGACCTAAATTCTGTGATCTAAAAATAATAAACTAAACACCAAACTGGAAAAACTTTTTAAGAACTTTTATTGTTTTTAACAATAGAATGTTTTTTTACAATTTTTGTGTTTTTGTTTTTTTTTGGGTTGGATAAAAATTTTTTAATATTATATAAGTAGTTATTTTTCCTCAAAAACATAATGCTTGCTTTATTAGAAATTTTCGCTAATGCGCTTACATATAACTGTAACTATGAGAGCCGAATATTATCAACCAAATTGACTTGTTAATATCATTTTGGTCACTATGGTATCAACAGCATGACATGAAAACCATAACTCAATCGAAAATTTAAGATAACAATAAGAAATTTTAACAAGTTAATTAAACTTAGTCAGAAGTTTTTAAGGATTTTTGCAAAATGCATTTAAAAAATTATTAACACAACGACTTTAAAACAACCGTTTGACCTTCACATAATTCTCAACTTTCGTTAAAATTAAAGGAATTATTCTTTCTAACATAATGAAGGAGTATAAAAGTACTTGAAAAAAAACAAGTAGAATCAATGTTATCTGGAATCAAACGTTGGTTAATTTTTTATAGCGATTCCCGGTTTTTAAACAATCATACTATTTGTTTCAATTGTAAGATATTCACAGAAACGGCCACTCTAACTTTTATTTTTTTCGAATTTGCATGCCTTTTGCTTATTCTATTTAGTTAAGTAACAAAAATAAGTGATTGTGCAACAACGATGTGTTTTAAAAGTTTCTAACAAAATTTCTTCTCTATAACAAAAGAGAAGAACCATACAGTCTGATCGTGTATTTCGTTTTTTTAAACACTTTTTATTCTTTTCAAACTAGAATTATCAGTATTTTCTAACGGATATTTCACTTTTCAAATAAGATTACTTATTTTTCAATTGGATTCTTGCATTTTTCGCAAATTATCGGCTGAATATTTTACTCTCAAAAACTCAAAAGTGAATAAATTTTGTATGCATTTTAGAAAAAAACAGAAATACTTCTCACTCGAATATTACGTTGTACAAGTATATGAAAGCTACTCGCCTTTTTTAATTTTTCGAGTAAAATAGCGAGATAGACGATCAGGTCCATAATTGGAACAGAAATAATAAAAGTATATTCTAAACGAAATTGTATTTTTAGAAAGTAACTATAATATTTAAATTTTAAATTAAAAATGGTTAATTTGTCCTCTTAACATTTCAATTAACCCAATTATGTATTTGACAAAATTTTTTTCTTTTTATTAATGGTCAAAATCGAAAAAAATTTTAATGTCATTGAACATTTCACATATTTTTAAATTATTTAATTTGCATATTTTACTAGTCCATTTGCCTATACCTAATTAATAATTATAAAAAATAATGTGAAAATCGATTGAAATTAATTTAAAATAGACGAAAATAATTTTTCAAGAAATTTTCGTTTTCTAAATAATAAATTATTTATGTGCGTAAGATTTGAATGTGCGAAGTTAATTAATGAAATTGTAATTGATATTGAAAACATTACGCTATCGCAAGAATTGGAAAATCATAAATCATATGAAAGTATTCCCATGGAATAAATTTTAAATATAGTATACGTATGCATAATATGAGTTTTATAACACAAAATATAATTGGGGTTAGATTTCTTAACGATAATATTAAGATGAGCCAATTTGTACTCAAATTTTATTGAATATTCATTTTCATAATGAACATTGGCTCTAAAACAATTTTAATTTAAATATTTTAGATGATTTTTGAAATTTTTCACAAATCTTGTACATTATTGGTGATTAGCCTGATAATTAAACAAAAGTAGATTAGCGAAAAGTGAAAATTTAGCCTTTAATTTTCTGAAATATTTTGTGTGAAATGTAAGAATGACATGAAATTTTAAAGAACCTCAAAAATAATTACTGTA